TGATACGTTAAATTATAAAAATTTTAAAATAAATAATTGCAAAGGAATTAAATGATAAAGTTTACCGACTAGAAATTTTTTTTAAAAAAATAAAGAAATTAAAATGAAATTTTTTGTTAAAATAAAAAGATTAAAATAAGATTTTAACCATATCTTATTTAAAATAATGTATTTTTATAATTAACAGAAAGATATCAAGTTAATTTGCTAACGATGACATGTATATATAATCACTTACTACTTTGTGACTTAATTTATTTAAAAAATGACAAACAAAAAAGTATGCAGTCGGCATTATTAGATAGGAGAGTGCTTATATATCCTAGCTGCGATGGACCCAAAATCCTCGGAGAAAGTCATGCAATAATTAAGAATCATGAATTATGATTCGTTTCTTCCATAATTCATTACGCGAAACCCTAAAAAACTTTTGGCCTATCGTTTTCTTCAATCATAGTTGATACAACTAATTAAAATGCATTTGGATTTATCTGCAAAGAAATACTATAATAAAATCAATTTTCTTCAGCTTTTGGGACATTGGATAATGAATAGAATATTTGTATTAAGCCGCCCTAATTTCTAATTAAATTTACCTTTGTATGGATTGGAGGTCCATATTAAAATCCCACCCCATGTGAAAATATTCAGAGTTCCTAGTATCGATCACATGCCTTACCTTGGAACTAACTATCCTACGTGCTGGGATGAATGCCCATTTCTTTAAAAAAATGTAGATTCTTCGATGTGTATTTATTTTTGTTGTAGATGCTTCAATATATTTATGGTTTATATAGCATATGTTGTGTATGCATCATGTATAGTACATGTAATGTAGTTGATATATAACTGGGATAAACAATGGAAGTTTTATAAAGTTTTACTATTTGTCCCTAACGGGTGTGTCTTAGTGTCTTAATGCATGAAACAATGAGATTTCATTTAAAAGATGATATTTTTCATCTTGAGACAATGTGAAGGAATTATTGGGAAGGGGAGAAAGGTTTTGGGAGGGAGGGGGGCGAATCTCTCTGTTGCATAGTCCGCTACCATGAGATGTACCATTTTGACGGTAAAAACCAACATTTAGCCATTTATTTTATAAAATTGGTAGATTTTAATCCATCACTTTATAACATGACAATTTTAACCCCTCACCTTACAAAGTTGATAAGTTTTAGTCCCTCACCTTACAAAGTTGATATATTTTAACCTTTTACCTTATATTATGATATTTTTAACCCATCATTAATACAAATTAAAGAAAATAACTATCATCTAATATCAAGTTATAACGTTCTGTTAGTTCTATTAGTTGACTGTTAATATCTGTTAGCATTCCATTATAAAAAATATGAAATTTAAATTCAATTTTATTTGTTAGTTTTATTAACCGAATACTAACAGATGTTAACAGTCAACTAACAGAACTAACAGTCAACTAATAAAACTAACAGTTAGTTAACAGAATTGACAGTCAACTAACATAACTAATAGAACATTAAAATATAATGTTAAATAAGAGTTATTTTCTTCAATTCGTACAAATAAGAGGTCAAAAGTGTTATAATATAAGGTGAATGGTTAAAATCTATTAATTTTGTAAGATAAAACACTAAAAGTATTATATTATAAGGTTAGGGGTTAAAACCTATTAATTTTGTAAGGTGAGGGGCTAAATATTCGTTTTAGCCCCATTTTGACAGACAATATATTAGTCA